TGATCTAGAAGGCAATTTGGTGGGCACATCATGTTTACTTAACAAAAAACAGCAGGTACCTTACTACAGCCTGTCACCTCCCCTGATTTTGAACAGGTTTTTCAGTGTGAGTTCCTGCGTCCGGAGTGGGCACCAAATCCAATCAGAAAGAGGTCGGTTATGTTCATAACAGCCATGCGGCTATTGTACCTGCGGGCACATCTTGACTGACGGTCTCTAGTACAGCACGCTGGTCCCACAGCTGAGTAAGACTACAGATGACTCGTCAGCCCCAGCAACCTGTAATGCAGCACTTTCTGGTGCTATCAACGCAAACCAGCAGGAGGCTGATTCCGACTTGGTTCTAACTCAATTTCTCCGTGTCCTGCAACCAAAGTGTGTGGCGTCTCCAGGAGCACGGTCTTACCACAGTTCTGGTCGGCAACCAGGAGCAATGACAACAGCCTGTGTTGTTGGGGGGCCTCAGTGCCTTCCATGGTGAAGAACTCATGGGGGCAATCCACACCTGGTGCGGTAGCTTTACAGTCTTCCTGTAACCCGATTGTGATCTATTTGACTATTGCGGGTACCCATTCTTCTGGGGCTATGGTAAATCAGTTAGACATGCTCCTTTATCCTATGTATTTCCCATATTTTTGTCTCTGCTGAATTTTAGACTAGCCTTTTTTTTTAGAGCATTCATTTCTGTTAAATATATCCATTGAATTTTAATTTTGGTAATTGTACTTTTTGTTTCTAGAATTGCTTTTTTGGCATTCCCTTTGCTTTTTATGGTTTCTAGTTCTCTGACAAGGTTTTTTAATTCTTATGTTCTAATTATGTATGTGTGTGTATGTGCATGTGTGTGCGTGTAGGTACTCACAGAGGCCAGAAGAGGGTATCAGACCCTTGCGGCCGGAGTTGCAGGCAGTTGTGAGCTGACTGATGTAGGTGCTGGGAACCAAACCTGGGTTCTCTGCAAAAGCAGTATGTACTTTTAGCTGCTGAGCCGTTTCTCTAGCCCCTTGACAAGACTTTCGGATTTGTGGTTTGTTGTTGTTTGTGGTTAGCTGCTGGCCTAAATTTTGCCAAGTAGCTGTGGGTGATCTTGAACTCCTGATTCTCCTGCCTTTGACTCCAGAGCCATGTCCCACCTCACCCAGTAAACAGTGCTGGGGCTCAAACACGAGCCTTGGTAGTCGTTAGGCAATCAATCATTCAACCACCTGAGCTACATTCCCAGTCCTTTGGTGATTACGGTTTCCATTGCACTAACACTCAAAAAAAAATTTTAAGGCAGAATCTCCCCAAGTAACCCACACACACAATGGGGTCAAACTGGCGATCCTCCTGCCTCTGCTTCCTCAGTGTTCGGGTTACAGAAGTTCACCACAGCACCCTCTTGACTCTAGACACCTTCATGTGAACTTGTGATTTTATTGCTCTGGGGTTAACAGTGCTGGGATTTCAGAATCACAGGGGAGGTCAATACTTGGCTGTATAGAAACCTCCCAAGCCATTTTTCCAAGTGTTTGCTCTCTTTCGGTTTCCTGCCGGTGTGAGACACCCCGTCCCGGATCTCCACTGCCACCCAGCGGGTCGGCCGTTCCAGTGGGTGTGCGGTGGTGTCTCGCTGCTTCTCACTTGTATTTCTCTAGAGAGTGATGGTGCCCACTATGTATACGCCTCCTGCTGCCTGACCACTAGTGCCTTTCCTTTGTGAAGCTCTGTTGGCCGCTCAGGTACAGGCAGGTCTGAGAGCAAGCTCCTGGAATCGCGGCTCTTGTGAGGGAGAGCTGGGGAGATGGCCCCACATTGGAGATGATCTTGGGCTATCTACGGAACTTGAGAAACCGACCCAAAAACCCAAACAAGCAAGTAGGCAGAGTGGTCCACTCCTGTAATCCCAGCATTCCAGAGGCGGAGGCAGAAGACTCAGAAAGTTCAAAACCGCCCTTGGCTACGTAAGTTCAAGGCCAGCATGGGATACAAGAGAAAGAAGATCAGGTTGTTTTGTTTTTTTTTCCCCTTCAGTGCTAGAGACAAAATCCTAGGCCGTGGGTGTGGTTATCGAGAACTTTACCACTGAGCTGAACCATGGGGCCTGTTGGTCTGTTTCTCAGAAGCTTTGCAGGGTGCTATACGGAGGGTGGGTTGTGGCAGTCACGGACCGGACAGACTTCCTGGGCTCTGGGAGACTTGGCTTTGCATCCTGCAGCTCTGGTCTGCTGTCTAGAGAGGTTGGGCCCTTTGCAAACCTCAGCCCAGCTCCCTGCAGCCCGGCAGCACTGCAGAGCAGAGCCCGGTCAGTATATTACCGGCACTGCCTCGCCCTCCTTCACCGGGGAGTCAGAACCCGACCGGCCATCCGGCCTAGAGACGAGCTAGCGCCTGCTTTCCACGGACCACACGCGCACAGCTGTATGAGTTGTTAAAGTATTGCAAGATGTCCTTCTGAGCTGGTCATGGGGGTTCACGCCCTTAACACTGGCACACGGGATGTTAAAGCATGAGGATTGTGGGTTCAAGGCTAGCTGAGATACATAGAGTCCTGGGCTGTCCTGAGCTACATGGTATGACTGTCTCAGAAAAGAAGGGAGGGAGGGAGGGAGGGAGGGAGGGAGAGAGAGAGGGAGGGGTGTGGAAAGAAAAACAGAAAGGCAGGCTATAGAAATGACTCGGTGGACCAGGCGGTGGTGGCGCACGCCTTTAATCCCAGCACTTGGGAGGCAGATACGGGCGGATCTCTGTGAGTTCGAGGCCAGCCTGGTCTACAGAGCAAGTTCCAGGACAGCCTCCAAAACAATACAGAGAAACCCTGTCTCGAAAAACCAAAAAAAGAAAAAAAAAAAAAAGAAATGACTCGGTGGTTAAGTCTTGTTTTTTCTCTGCTCACACGTGACAGCTCACAACTGCCTGTAACTCCAGTTCTAGGGGAATCTCATGCACTCCCCTGAGGGCACCAGACACGCATGTGGTATACACGCGCACATTTAGGCACTCGACCTTATACATAAAAATAAATCTGAAAGAAAAGAAGGAAGATGATGGGTGGATGGATGAGATCGGTCTTTTGGTCGGTAAATAACCTCTCCTTGGATCCGGGAAAGACACTCAATTGGCAAAGTGCTGGAGGGACCTGAGTTTGGTCCCTGGGAGCCACATAAAAGACTGGGCATATGCTGTGTTTATAACCCCACAACTGGGGAAGCAGAGACAGGAAGACTCCTGAGGGTCCAGCCTGGCCTTCTTGGTGTTTTTCAGACCAGTAAAAAGAAAGAAAGGTAGACAGTCCTGAGGAATGACACCTGAGCTTGTCCTCTCTGATCACACACCCTGCCCCCTCTCTCTCTCTCTCTCTCTCTCTGTCTCTCTGTCTCTGTCTCTCTCTCTCTCTCTCTCTCTCTCTCTCACACACACACACACACACTCACACACACACACTCACACACACACACGCACACGCACACGCACACGCACATGCACACGCACTCAGCCTGTCCTCAGCTCTTGTCCCACAAATGTCCGCCAACATCTCTCCCTTGGGACTGCTTCGACTTCCCCTATCTTAGCAACCAAAGGGGCTCTGACTTGGATGGTATCCTAGTGTCCTGGCTGTTCCATCACATGTGTTCTGGGGGCAGGCCAGGCGTGGCTGGGGTGGGAGGTGGGGGTCAGAAGGCTCCTGCTGGGAAGCTGGGGAACGGGAGGAAGACTTAGGAAGGGCAGACTGTAGCTCACCCCTGGACATGCTTGCTAATGCCACCCGGGAGAGTAATTAACATGCCGTGAGTAGCCACAATGTGTCAGGCACGGTTCTAGCGATCCTCACAAAGCCTCAGGAGAAGCTGGCCCTGCATCCCTCTCTGATACAAGTCCCCACATTCTGTTTGTAGCCAGAGGGAGCCTTGACCCCCAGCAGGTCCAGGTGCTCCCTGCCCAGTCCCTCGCTGTCCCCTCTGCTCGCGTTCATATTAAGAGGCCTCTGGGCACAGGGGGCCGCTTTCTCCCATCCTCGCTCCGGACCTTAGGAAGAAACGATCGGATTCTTTAGGGACCAGACTCAGCCTGGCCGGGCCGGTAGCAGCCGTGAACATCAGAGACCCTCCGCCCACCGCCAGAGTCCCCGGCTCCCACAGTCCCCCGGCTCCCACAGCGTCGTCAGCATCTGTCCCATGACCACCACCCAGCTTCCCCTTTCTCCTGCACCCTGGGTGCCGCAGAGTGTGAGATGGTGGGGGAGGGGCTTCCTGCTCATGCCCAGGGGCTCCAACCTCGGGTTCCTCCTTTACCAGTTCCAGTTTAGACTCCTGCTAGGGGCTAAAATAATCCCCGCCGCCTCCCCCCGCCCTGCCCCACCCTCTCTCCTAGCCCTCCCTCCGTGAGCTCCCCCCCTTCCTGGCTCCCAGCTGCTTCCCCCCCTCGGCCGCCCCGCCCCGCGCAGTGGTCACCGCGTAGCCACCACCTGCCTCGCCTCGAGCCCCAGCTCTGTCTCTGTGGTGTGCCGTCTGTGAAACAAGCTCTCGCCCTCTTTGCTTTGCCCAACCTGTCTTTCATCTTCTTCCCTCTCTGCCAGTGAAATGGCCATCTTCGGGTCCTGGGCCCCCGTGTGGCGGTGGGCAACTGTGTTTTCCTCTTTGTCCCTCGGGAGACAGGCATCCACCTCAGGTGGTGAATACTGTGACAACATTCCAGAGTCCTGCCGGGAGTGTCCCTTGATGGCCTGTGACGATGGCAAGGATTTGGTTGCCAGGCAGCAGTTGTAGCCAGCGCTTACACGGCCGAGTGTCAGACCCTGCTCTAGGAATGTCACTTAGCAAACGACCCTGCAAAAAGTGTAACGCGTTTACTCCCAAGCTTGTGACTGAAAAGAAAAATTGAGACCCGGAGAGGCTGAGTGACCTGTTCAAGGTTGCCCAGCCAGAAGAGGTTGAACTGCCCTCAGCGATGGTCACCTACGGTCCCTTCTGTTATAGTATCCGTCCTCTGTCTGGACATGAAGACCAAGGCCTGCTTGACCAGCCCGCAAGGCCTGTGGCACAGCCCCTTGGTGACTTTCTTTCTGGTGTCACGTCTGTGTGTCCCTCCTCTCTGCTGCTGTCCCCTCCTCCTGCCGCCACCGCCCACCTCAGACTTCCTCCTTCGCTTGGTCGGTTGGACGTCACACCCCACCCCACCAGCCGCTGGACTGCGGTGTCCAGTGCCCGTCTGGTCACCATGGGGGTCCTGGAGCCCTCCTGTCCCCTGCTGCTCCTTCCTGTCCTTCTGACTGTGGGAGGTGAGTCGGGGGCCTCTGCAGCTGTCACCTGCATCTTCAGCTCAGGTTGGGGCCAGGGCTGGGCAGAGAGCAGGGAGGGGACGGGACAGGACAACCGAAGGGGAGGACTGGGTAGAGAGGGTTCCTCTAGGGCCTGTGGTCCCCTCCCTGAGCTGGAGGCCTCCAAGATTTGGAACCTGGTAGGGCCAGGAGGAGGGGACACCTAAGCCAGACAAGCTGACACAGATACCACACGCTGGCCTCTGTACCGGCCCCCTGGGTGCTGTGAGACCTGCCTCTGTCGGCTTCTTCAGCTTCTAGTGGGCCTCAGCTGACATCTTCCTCTTGAATACAGAATCTCATATAGCCCAGGCTAGCTTCAAGGCTGCTGTGTAGTTGAGGATAACCTCAGCCTTCTGATTCCCCAGCTTCCACCTCTCTCAGTTCATCTAATTTTCCCTCCTTAGGATTAAGTCCAGTCCAGGCCCAGAACGGTAAGCCCTGACACCCCCGGTCTTTCTCTGTTCCTCTCAAAGACCTCCTTACGCCACCCTTTCTCCTTCCAACCCTCTCTCTGCTAACACCCAGTCCCTGATTGTCAACCTATGTCACCCTCCTATGTCATCCTCCTGTGACGCTTTCCCAGAATGCAACTGCTCTCCCGTGAGCCCAGGCGTACTGGCTGGGATTGTGCTTGGTGACTTGATGCTGACATTGCTCATTGCCCTGGCTGTGTACTCTCTGGGCCGCCTGATCCCTCGAGGCCGAGGAACTGCAGATGGTGAGTGAACCGGGAGGAGCTGGCCTGGTGGAAGCAGGGATTGGGGGACGTTTCAAGGTCACAGATTATTTGTTATTATTTGTTTTCGTTTCTTCCTCCTTAATGCTGAGGACCCAGACAGGGCCATGCATTTGTGCAGCAAGCACTCCATACCGACTGAGTTACAGGCCAGAGGGCTGGTGGCTTGTTTTTGTTTTCCTCTCTCTCTTATTTATGTTTTATATTTTAATTGTGTATCACGTACACACATTTGAATGCAGAGTCTTCTGAGGTCAGAAGGTGACACTAGATACCCCTGAACTAGAGTTACAAGTGACCCAGCCACCCATTGTGGGTGCCGGGAACTGAACTTGGATCTTCTGCAGGAGAAGTACCTGTTCTTAACTGCTGAACCATCTCTCCATCTCTCAAGCTGCTCAGAAGGGCTGGTTTTAAGGCACCAAAACAGGGACACCAGTAGCACATGTCTTTAATCCCAGCACTCGGGAGACAGATGCAGGCACATCTCTGTGAGTTCAAGGTTAGCCTGTCTGCATAGTGAGTTCCAAGACAGCCAGGGCTACACGGAGAAACCCTGTCTCAAAAAAAAAAAACCAACCTAATAAAAAACAAAACAAAACAAACCAACAAAAGCAAAATAGTCTCAATTCTCAGCTTATTCCATCTTTACACTCTATGTCACTCTCTACAGGGAACCGGAAGCAGCACATTGCTGAGACAGAGTCACCCTATCAGGTAAGAACTCCAAATCTTTCTCCACCTTCACTCCTGCCTGCACACACACACACACACACACACACACACACACACACACACACACACACACACACACACCTTCCCAGCACCTTAAGGTTCCTTCCCCCAGCAACTCTGCTAATCTTGAAAGGAGGCATCAGTCCAACATACCAGCCTCAGACATAGGGGGCACAGAGAAGGCTTCTGTCGTTGTTAGGCTTGCACTGATCTGGAGAAAGCCTGGCCCGCAGTCAGACCGGGAGAAGCCCTTGGAGAGGCAGGGAATAGAATTTAGCCTAAGCGTGGCCTCTCTAACGAGGGGAGCTCTGCTGGTGTTACGGTGCTGCAGCAGGGGGTTGTGGGCCCTGGACGTCCCTTTGATTAGGACCAAAGCCAGACTGCTCAGAAAATGCCACACAAAAAGTACAAAGTGATCCTAGAACTTAGTTGGCAAGACGATGGGAAGTTTGAAGCCAACTTGGGCTACTTAGTGAGTCTGCCGTTAGCCTGGACTACAGAAAGAGACCACGTCTGAAAACAACAACAACAACAGCATAAAAGTATCATACGGGCCGGGCGTTGGTGGCACACGCCTTTAATCCCAGCACTCGGGGGGCAGAGGCATGCGGATCTCTGTAAGTTCGAGACCAGCCTGGACTACCAAGGGAGTTCCAGGCCAGCCTCCAAAGCCACAGAGAAACCCTGTCTCGAAAAAACCAAAAAAAAAAAAAAAAAAAAAGTATCATACGGCATGGTGTGCTCACCTCGCGCTTGCAAAGCCCTTTATGGAATATCCAGTACCAAAATAAACATTAGCAGTAATTAGCATACTGTCCCCAGATTTCAGAAGCCAGGCAGGAGGATTGTGAGCTCAAGGTCAGTCTAACTTATGTCTGATATCTCAAACATCTAAAACAGAGCTGGGCATGGTGTACACACCTTTAATGCCAGTATTGGGGAAGCAGAGGCAGGTGGGTTCCCTGTGAGTTTGAGGCCAGGCTGGTTCCAGGTGAGCCAGGGCTATGTGATGAAACCCTGGCTTGTCTTTTAACAAGAAAAATATATTAAAATTGGGATGGGATAGAAATGCAGCTCAGCCTACCCTCATCTAGCCCGCACAGGGCCCTGGATTCAACCCAACAAATAAATAGGTAACAGAATTAATTCCAATCCCAGCACTCAGGAGGCAGAGGCAGGCGGATCTCTGTGAGTTCGAGGCCAGCCTGATCTACAAAGTGAGTTCCAGGACAGTCTCCAAAACAATACAGAGAAACCCTGTCTCGAAAAATCAAAAAAAAAAAAAATAAATAAATAAATAAAACAAGTCACAGTTATGTATGTACGCTAGAGACAAGCTGGCATTGAACTCACTCCTAAAAACCATAATGTAGTCAGCTATGTCTGTTCCCTGTCAAGACTCTGTGTGTGTGTGTGTGTGTGTGTGTGTGTGGTATGCATGTCGTGTGTGTTTGTGTATGTGTGTATGTGTGTGGTATGTGTATGTGCGTATGTGTGGTATGTATGTGTGTGTATATGTGTATGTGTGTGTGGTGTATGAGTATATGTGTGTGTATTTGTGGTATATATGTGTGTGTGCAGTGTCAAGTCTTATTTTTAAATTGCACTTATTTTATGATTTACTTATGGGTGTATGTGGGGTGGGGGCTGGGTATGCATATGCCTTGGCAGCCATGTGGAGGCCAGGAGACAGGCTTGGGAGTCCGTTCTCTCCTTCCTCCTGGTCTAACTGGTTGTCAAGCTTCACAAGTATTTTACCCACTGAGCCATCTCACCAGCCTTGGGAACTCCGTCTTACCCTGTGGGACAGGAGTGAGGGTTAGGGAACTCCGTCTCTGGAGAAACAAGTACCCAGACTGACCTCCAGCACGGGCTTTCGGAGAGTCTGCCCCTGGGGACCACAGGCCCCGCTCGCCACCTCCAGCAGCCATCTTTGTCCATTCCCCTCCTTGTTAGAGAAAAGTTTTCTTTGCAAAGTTTGGTTCCAGGCAGTGGTGGTGCACGCCTTTAATCCCAGCACTCGGGAGGCAGAGGCAGGCGGATCTCTGTGAGTTCAAAGCCAGCCTGGTCTACAAGAACTAGTTCCAGGACAGCCGGGCTACAAAGAGGAAACCCTGTGTCAGAAACAAACAAACAAACAAAAAACCCCTCAAGTTTGACCACCTGAGCCTCAGAAGCCTGAGGAAGTTGTCCAGTCCCCAAGAGCCAGGAAATTTTAGGGCCAAGTGTCAGCTTTGTTTCTCCTGTGGCTTGGTTGAGACCTACATGGGTCAGCACAGCATCCTAACTGCAGAGACTGATTTGAAGCAAATTAACAAAATCATTTTCAGGTGACATTATGATAACGGTGAGGTCGGGAAACAGAAAAGCTCACGATGTAAAGGGTGAGAAGGGGGTTGGAGATCTGGGGTGTTGGCCTTCCAGTCAGAGAGAACGGCACGTGCAAAGGCCCTGAGCTTGGGGTATACTGTCTAGAAACCAGGGGAACGCTGGCTATGTTTGAATAAAATCCAGGTCTCTTTCATGGTTTTAAGTTTGAAGAAGCTGCCAGAGACCGTGAAGGCCACTAGGAGGCTAGATTTGTTTTGCTTGCTGGGCTTACTCCAATGATGGCCTCTGTCATTTTAGGAGCTTCAGGGTCCGAGGCCAGATGTCTACAGTGACCTCAACACACAGAGGCAGTATCACAGATGAGCCCACACTATGCCGATCTGCAACCTGATGCCTGGATCCAGTCATTCCGGATGCCTACTCAACACACCATCCCTGGGATACAGACCCACACAGTGTCCCCAGTGAGATGTCTGACCCCCTCCATTCTGTCCCCAAATAAACGACAGAGCAAAAACCATGTCTGAGTTATGTTAGACTCGGTGAAGCATTGGGTACCAGTGGGGCCCCAAGAATGTCTCTTAAATCGGGAAACAGCTACCTGGGAAGAAGTCAGACTTTGGGAAGAACAAGACTAGAGGTATTTGAATGACTTTATTCTAGTCCCGAAGGAGTGCGTTCCCAGGCGACTCCTCCCCCTCCCCCCAGTGATCCAGAACGGGAGGGTCGTAAGTTGCAGAGGTCAGCCTCTTCCAGGCATGTTGATGTAGACTCTACTGTCTTCTGGATGGGGTAGAGAGAGAACATGAAGCATGACCACCCCCCTTTCCCACATCACCTTCCTGGGAGACCCCCTGCCTCAGGGGCTTCCTCAGGGGTTCCCCAAATACCTCCCCCAGGGTTTCCCAAGCACCTCCTCCAGGGCTTCCCCGGGGACCACCCTCGCGGGACCCCCTTCTCCCCTAGGGACCACCACCCACTCTCCGGGCCCCGCCCCAGTGTTAGCTCACCTTGGGCTAGCCTGCTGTGTGGACGCATACATACAAACACCACCCCCACGATTAGGAGAGACAAGACCGCGTCTGCAGCCACCAGGCCTGCCAGCAGTGGCAGGGACAGAGGCCCACATCCGGAGCAGGGACCTGGGGGTTAAAGCCCGGACAAGCAGACAGCAGCTGAGACCTTTCTCTTTGCCTACACCCTCCCGAGATCCCGGAGACGGGGTGGATCCCCGACTCTTTGGGGCTAGGGAGTAAAATGAGGAGGGGAGCTCACAGAACCCTGGGCACACCAGGAGTCTCCCGGTTCCCATCACTTCACTTGGGTGGTGAAGTCAAGATGGACCGGAAAAGGGCTGAGATTAGAAGATGTCCCGGGCCCCGATTGCAGCATTGGAGGCGGCTGCTGAGGTTCTGGCCTCACCTGCGGGCGTCTGACTTGCAGCCACTGTGGAAAGACAGAGAAAGTGGATAGGGGTGGGAGGAGAAGTCCCCAAAACAGGCGCAGGGTGGGGGCGGGGGCGGGGGAGGTGCTTGAGACCTAAACTCTACACTGGAGGCGGGTAAATGGGAAATGGAGCTTCCTGGAACACAGACAGTGACCAGAAAAGGGAAATAGCAGGGCCCCGGCCACAAGGAGAGCTCACAACTGTAGAATCCCACCCTCACCCCCAAGGACCCAGACCTTGAGATCCAGTGGCTCTCGGGAAAGAGCACAGGGAGAAGGGATTTGCCCTCCGTACCCCTCACAGCTGTCCCCTCAACCCCTGGCTGCTGGCTTCACCTGGGAGCAGAAGTAGGAACAGGAGGTGGCTTGGAGGGGTCATGGTGGGCTGGGACCTGAAGAGATCTGGCCAAAGATAGTTGTCCAGCGATGTCCTCAGAGCAGCAGAGGAGAGAGGCAGCTAGGACGGATGTCACCCTGCTGGTGACGGTGCTATCTACTTCCTGTGTGTGGGTACATGTGTGTCCTTAAGACTTCCTTTGAGGAACAAATTTGGGGGAGTCAGAGAGCCCAGAGAGGCTCCTGTCATGATCTGGGTGGGAGCGGCAGGTGGGCTGTGGTGTGGGCACGAGGGAGACTCTGGAACTATTTTGGAAGCTAAGCCATCAACATTTGGGGCTGGAGAGAGTGCGTGTCAGAAAGGTCACCAGGGATGACTGCAGATTCTGAGTGAGATGAGAAAGATGGAGAGTGGGCTGGCTACAGAGTTTGGGAGAGCTTGTTTAGGAAGGAGAGAGCGGTGCCCACATTCGGGCATATCGCGTGGGAAATCCTGACAGAGCTCTCTGGAGATGTGAACGTCTGCAGTTGGGTTCCAAAGATGGGTCTGGTCCGGACATGTAAATGCTGATGGTTAAAAGGTGGCATTTAAAGCCATCAGACTGGGAGAGCTCACACACACACACACACACACACACACACACACACACGAGAGAGAGAGAGAGAGAGAGAGAGAGAGAGAGAGAGAGAGAGAGAGAGAGAGAGAGAGAGAGAGAGAGAGAGACCAGCACCAGCAGCCAGCTAGGGAAGTGGAAACAAGGGAGGAGGAGACCCAACACAGGGTAGAATGTTGAAAAATCGGAGAGAGACATTTGGTCATTACAGTTTAAGTGCCAAGGAAGGTCACCAAGTGGGAACTGAGAATGTCGGTTCCCTAGTGGGCTGGGAATTTCTGTTTGGTTCACACCTTTCTATGCCAAGCACCCAGCAAAGCGTCTCCTCTATGCTAACAGAGTTTTTAAAACGATGGGTAAGTGAGCTGGGCGCGATGACCCAAGTCTGTAATTCCAGCGCTAGAGACCAAGGGAGGAAGATGGCTCTGAGTTCAAGGTCATCACAGCTGACTTAGCAATTGCCAGGCCCTATGGGGAAGACCCTGACTCAAAACCAAAACAAGGGGTAGGGAGATGGCTCAGAGATAAAGGTCCTTGAGCTGTGGCAGAGCCCCAGGATCCACACGAAAAGGCAGCGTTTCTACAGCCGACTTCAGAGCACATGGTCTTTGACCTCCCCGGGAGCTCACACACACCTTTTCTTCCTTTTAAAGCAGGTATTAGAGCCGGACATAGAGGCTCACACGCTTAAATCCTAGCACTTGGAGACAGAAGCAGGCAGATCTCTGTGAGTGTAAGGCCAGCCTGATCTACAGAGTGAGTTTCAGGGCAGCTTGAGCTACATAATGAGATCTTGTCTCAAAACAAAACAAAAGCAAATATTGGCGGTTGGCTGTGGTAGCCCACATCTGGGAGATGAGAGCAAGAGGGTCAAGCGAAATTCAAGGCTACTCCCAGTTCCCTGGGCCAGCCTGGGCTACAGGAACCCATGTCTCTCTGCGCCTGTCTCTCTGTCTCTCTCTGTCTCTCTGTGTGTCTCTGCCTCTGTCTCTCTCTCTGTCTCTTTGCCTCTCCCTCTTTCTCTCTGCGTGTCTCTCTCTCTCTCTCTCTCTCTCTCTCTCTCTCTCTCTCACACACACACACACACACACACACACACACACACAAAAATCAAAACTGAAACCAAAGGGGGGGGAGGTTATAAATGAAAGTTGACTCTGAAGAAGGGAAAGGCCACATTTAAGGAGAGAGAGATTTAAGTCAACTATGTAACCCTATACTATACAACCCAACTACACAACTTCTCCTGGAGTCATGGGGTCCAGACGCTCCCCCAGGACCCAACAGCACTGCTTGGCCCATGCACGGCCAAGTCAAGGGCTCCAGCATCTCCTTGGCCAAAGACTCAATTCCAGGCACCCAACCTCCCCCCCTCTTCCCCTAGCATCCTCCTCCCCTGGGGATGAGGTGATCAGACCCTTCAAGGTCAGCCCCTCCCATTCAGAGACTAAGCTTGCTCTAGCGTTAAACCAGGGAACTCCCAGGGCTGTGGGCGGGGTCCTCCTTGAACTGGGCGTGGTCAAAACCCCAATTTAAAAACTCGCGGGGATCCTGGTTGCAGATCGGGGAACCCGGCGGCGGCGGCTCCGCGGGGGAAGCAGCGAGGCTGGCGCAGCGCCGAGGTCGCGGCCCTGGGGGCCCGCAATCTGGACCCAAGAATCCGCGAGGTAAGGCCGGGGTAAAGCGCTTTCCGAGCGCAAGAGCGCATTAACCTGTGCCCTGAAAGCTGCGGGGATCCTCAGTGTTTAAGGGAGCTGGCTGAACAGGAGCGGATGGGAGTGGACTCGTGAGTCTTGGGCGCGCTGGAGATTAAGAGGGGGATCTGGAATCGTGGGGGGCTTGGGTTCAAGGGCTGGGAGGCCTGATCCTGGGGTCCCTCCCGTAGGAGGATGGAGGGACCCCGACTCCTTCCTCCGAGGGGGCTGCATTGCATCCTTGAGGTGCGGTTAATGGTTGCAGATTTGGGTCCTGAAGGTCCGGCGCCGGCGGGAACCTGCCCCGCCCCGGGATTTCCCAGTGCACCGCGGGTGCAGGGACCCCAGGCGGGCAGGAATTCCCCGAGCGCGGGGATTCCGCGGGCGCCGCGCTTCGCCGCGCGGGGCACCTGCCGCGCGAGCCCCGGAGCGGAACTGGGAGGTGGAAGGTTCCCTTGCGCGAGCGCGGTGACGTCAGCGCGTGGCGTCCCGTTTCCGAGTCGGCCCGCGGCGTCCTTAACCCTTCTAGCGCCGGAGTGGGAGCCCGGAAGCCTGGGCTGGAGGTGGGGGGTTGGGGAGGGGGTGGTGGTGGATTTTCCTCCTTCCTGGGTCGTGGGGATCGGAATCTCCTGGGTTTCTGGATGAGAGAATGGCCGCATCGATGGGGTGCGTGGCATCTGCGGGACGGTGGGTCCCTGCGACTCCCAAGTCCGCAGGGGTGGGGGCGGGAGCTTGGCCACTCCAGATCCCTGGAGTCCCCCCAGGAGCTAGGGGATGCTGATGAGACTAGACTGGCGGTCCCCAGAGTAGCAGCTCACCTTTTTCCATGCTGAGGACGCTAGGCCCACCCTCTGCCATCCTCTGAGCCACGCCCCCAGCCAGCCCCACTTGCCAGATTCTAGAACGGAGAAGCAATTTGCTGTTGTTTCGAGACTCTCAAGGAGCCCAGGCTAGTCTCTAACGTAGTGTGTAGATGGGACAGAGACATTGGGGACCTGCGCGTGCTTTCTCAGCAAGTAGAGATCAGCGGATTCCCAAGCCTCCACTCCAGGTCTCGGGCCCCGGCGCCTTAGGTTGGGATTTTTTACGGATGTGGCGGTGCTTCCGAGGAGTGGGGGTGTGGAGGAAACGGAGGCTTCGGAGGAGTGCTAGCCCTCCCCACTTCCTCGGTTTCCACTACGCCGGTGGAAAGTTGGGGCAGAGGAAAAGCGTGGAGTAAAAGGAAGGAAACGGTGGGGGCGGGCCCTGCAGTCAACATCTTATTGGCTTTGTAGCTCTCCGGCTGCCGCATCAATGTGCCAGTTTTTCCGCGCGGGAGGGAAAGGAGCGTGGCCACATCCACTCCTCGCCGCCCACCGCTGCTGCCCAGGGTACATTTGGGTGACTTAAACCTTCCTGATGACTTTCTTCTGTCTTCCCCCACACAGTGAGTCGGGCTGAGCGCAGCCACTGCCCAACACAGACGGTGAAGAAGCTCCTGGAAGAACAGAGGCGCCGTCAGCAGCAGCCTGAGGCTGGTGGGGTACCGGTGAGTCTCTGCAAGTCCCGTATAGGACCACACATGAAACCGTTTGCGCGCCCGGGGATAATAGGGAAGTCGTAGCCCTGACTACAGACCCGAATCTTCCAGATACATAAACTTCACTCGTCTTCATTTTCTTTACACTGTAGGGACACTTCTCCCCTCCTCTGGCCCAGCCACTGACCCCATCTGTGAACGAGGCAGAAGCAGGTAAGAATAGAAAGATTTAGCTCCCAGCCCCAACTTCTCTTAGACATTTAGACACCGCAGCTCTTAGAACTTTGGGCTCCCGGTAGTCCAGCCCTCATTATTGAGGGTTGAGACACAGGGGAAATTTTGATGGACAGCCTGCCATAATTGCCCATTCCCACATTCCCGCTACTCCAGAAGTTGAGCCGGGAGGATTGCCATTGGGTTTGAGGTCATGCTGGGTTGCCAGTGAGTTCTAGGCCACCTAGAGCTTACTAAGACACTTTTTCTCTCAGTAAACCTTGGGACACTCCAGGTTTACTGGCCCTGGCTGTGTCCCAGTCTCTGATGACAGTCTGGTCCCTGCCCATCCTCACTTTCAGGCCATCCCCACTTCCCCGCTTTCCAAGAGACCGTGGATTCTGGACCTGGCAACCTGGCTCCGCCTTCAGGCTTTCCAGACTGGGACCCCAGCACCCATGCTGCCTATACGGACAGTTCTTGTCCATACTCGGCTGCTGAAGGCTTCCTGACGCCTGATTTCTACCCTCCCTCAGACCCAGGGCGCTCGGGTCCATTCCCCCTGGGGATGGAGGTAAACTATAGAGGGGGGCAGACACTTAAGGGCCCCTAAAAGTCTCCCAGCTGTGCCGAGCCTGGCAGTGTAGACCTGTCATCCCAGCTACTCGGAAGGCAGAGGCAGGAGGATCACAGAACTTGCCTGGGCTACAGAACGAGTTCAGGGTTGCCCTAGGCACGTTAGTTAAGATCTCATCTTCAAATAAAAAGGGAAAAACAGAGTGTTTGGAGTACCTCTCCGTGGTCTAGCTCTTCCCTTGCATGGGTGAGGCCGTAGGTTCTCCGTGGTTAGGGATGGAGAGTGGAGAATCTCAGTCACATCCACACGGTATTCTGCAGCGCCAGGGACCGGTTTGAGGGCCCATCCCCCGGCCAGGTGTGCTGGCTTATACCTGTAGTCTCAGCACACGGGAGGCAGAAGCAAGAGGCTCACCATTTGAGCCAGCTAGTTATGAGTTAGAAGTCAGTCTAGGCTGCATAGGAAAGCAGAAATGAAAATAAGCCAGGCATAATAGTACATGCTCATAATTCCAGCAGTCGGACTGCTGGGGCAGGAGAATCCCTTTGAGTTCAAGGCTAGCCTGAGCTTCACAGTGAGATCCTTTCTCAAAAGACAAAAGCAAGAAAAGAAAGAAAGAGAGAGAGAAAGAAAAGGAAGGAAGGAAGGAAGAAAGAACTCCTTCTCCCTTGTGGCAAAACTGAAGTCCCCAGGTTCAAAGACAGCTGGCATATGTGGGCTCCTGGTCTCCCCCATTGAACCAGGGGCTGTGTGCTTTGTGTGATGAGAATTCTCAGCTGACTGGCTCTTCCCCGCCCCCCACCCTCGTACCCCTCAGGACTCTCTGGATACCCGGCTGTATACAGAAGCTTCCCTGTCACAGGTAGGATCCTGGAGAGTCTCTACCCTCCCCTCAGGATCCCCACAGTTGCCTCCATCCACTGGACCCTCCCTGGAGACAGCCCGAGCTCATATATTAGCTTTGGGACCCCAACAGCTACTGGCCCAGGACGAGGAAGGAGACACGTAAGTGTAGGGAGGCAGGATGATCTACCGGCTGGCTCGTGGCTCACCCTGGCGGGGGCTATTCTCATTGCTGCCCCCACCCCACCCGCCCTCAGGCTCTTACACCTGTGTGCTGCCCGGGGTCTGCGCTGGGCGGCGTACGCCGCAGCAGAGGTGTTACAGATGTACCGACAGTTGGATATCCGTGAGCATAAAGGCAAGGTGAGGGCCAGGAGTCCAGGCTTCTGCACCTGGGGTGGGGAGCCCCCGACTGTCAGAGGGGAGGACTCGGGAGAAGCCAGGCTGATCGCATTGTGACTTGCAGACTCCCCTGCTGGTGGCAGCAGCTGCCAACCAGCCACTGATCGTGGAGGACCTACTGAGCCTGGGCGCCGAGGCAAATGCTACTGACCATCAAGGCCGTTCTGTCCTGCATGTGGCCGCCACCTACGGGCTCCCGGGAGTCCTTTCGGTATGGTCAGCTGGCAGATCCAGGGTGTCTGGGGGTGGGCTGGTTATCCAGATCGTGGTTTCCAGGGCCAGGTGTAGGGGGACCCTTCCACAGCCATCTTCCTCTCCTCCTCCTAGGCTGTGTTTAAATCAGGCGTTCAGATGGACCTGGAAGCCAGAGATTTCGAAGGTGAGCTGGTCGTGGCCAGGGCTGGTGCGGCAGGCAGGCGTGGCAGGCTGGCTGGTCAGGGTGGAGGCTGGTGCGGCAGGCTGGTGTGGCAGGCTGGTGTGGCAGGCTGGTCGTGCCCAGGGCTGGTGCGGCAGGCTGGCTGGTCAGGGTGGATGTCCAGGTACAGGTCCCTCACTGTTCCGTTCCACAGGTCTTACGCCTCTCCACACAGCCATCCTGGCTCTCAATGCTGCTATGTCCCCACCTAGCGTCTGTCCCAGGATGCTGAGTCCCCAAGCCCGAGACAGACTGGCGTGTGTGCAGATGTTGCTGCAAATGGGCGCCAGTCACACCAGCCAGGTGAGCTTGGGTGGCGGGGGTCAGGCAGGCCCATGGGAAAAAGTGTGGAAAGGGCCACCCGGGTGTCCAGGGGCACAGCAAATGCTGACTTAGCCTCTCCTACCTGTGTAACCCTGAGTATGTTCCTCTACTTCTCTGAGACCGTGGTCCATGGGGATATTATTAATCTTAGCTTAGATTTATCAAGCACTGTGACTTGATACATTCTCACCCCTTTAGGCATGTCCTCTTGTTTTCTATATTGTACTGACGAGAAATCTGAGGTCCAAGGGTCCAGAAGTCCTATAGCTTTCGTGTTGGAGAGGGACTTAGAATGGGGGGGGGTCCTGACCCTAGAACGTGGCTCTTAATTATATATGTGACACTCCTGTCCTGTGACAGTGGTTCCTTCATAGGCAGACTGAAGAAATCCAATACCATTTCATTTTAAACATGAGTGTTTTAGTTCAGAGTTTTGAGCACAGGATGGAGGTGGTACTGTAGTTACGGTCCAGCCTACTACCCCCTTGGCCCACATTTAATATACTGTTCTTCCAGAAATGAATTTGAGCATGGATTAAGTGCAAAGACTCATAATGTGTCCTTTGTGCTAACATTCCATCAATACTGAACACTCATGGCCACTCCTGTCGCCTGCTTTCCCTTCATTCTGAAGTTTTTGCTTGTGCTGCGGATTTAACCCAAGGTCTACTGCAGGCTAGGCAAGCTCTTCACAAACCTGTATTATTCTTTATTTTATTATCATTACTTAAGGCACAGTGTCTTTATGCAACTCAGACTGACCTCGAACTCAGCATCTCCTACCTCAGCCTCACAAGTGCAGAGCTGATAAACTTGTGTCACCAGGGCCAGTTCCTCTCCAATTCTGTCTTTAAGCAAATACAAGCATGTAATTATTTCTGAAACTAAGTGTCCTTCCTTCTTTCCTTTCCTTTCTTTTCTATTGGGGCTGAGAATAGAACTTAGAGCTTCCTCATGCTTATTGCAGTAATAGAGCCCCTGCCTAGAATCAACCAGTAAGAAACTGGTGGTGTGGCTCAGTGGTAGAACCCCTGCCTAGAATTCCCCAGTGAGGGCCTGGGGTGTGGCTCTGTGGTAGAGCCCCTGCCTAGAATCCCCCAGTGAGGGCCTGGGATGTGGCTCTGTGGTAGAGCCCCTGCCTAGAATCAACCAGTGAGGGCCTGGGGGTGTGGCTCAGTGGTAGAGCCCCTGCCTAGAATCCCCTAGTGAGGGCCTGGGGGTGTGGCTCAGTGGTAGAGCCCCTGCCTAGAATCCCCCAGTGAGGGCCTGGGGGTGTGGCTCAGCGGTAGAGCCCCTGCCTAGAATCCCCCAGTGAGGGGCTGGGGTGTGGCTCAGCGGTAGAGCATTTGCCTAGAATCTCCCAGTAGAGGGCATAAAAGCTGGAGACCTTTAGAAAACATTCCCCCTCTAAAATAACAATTCTCAACCTAGGGTCATGACCTTTTGGAGTCATATATCAGATATTCACATTACAATTTATTTGTAACAGTAGCAAAGTTACGGCTGTGAAATAGCAATGAAGTAATTTTACGGATGGGGTCACCACGCAGGAGGAACTGATGAAAAGGTCACAGCGTTAGGAAGGGTGAGAGCCGCCGCTCTAGACTCTGAAGCCCAGCGTTGCACCGTGTGGACCTGCGTGTTAATCAGTGCTACTCAGCTCCAGTGCTTACAGTGCTGTGTGGTCCGTGTGAGACGGGACATTTTAGCGTGTGCGATAGGACACTGTGTGACCACGACAACTCTTAGCCCCGGAAGTTCCTTTGAGGGACTGAGAAAAGCGTGGTGTTTTTTTGTTTGTTTCCAGAGACACTTGAACTGGAAACTGTCGCACTGAATGTGCAGTTTTGTGACACACAAGTGACAAATGGCCTCCTTTCAGCCATGTTCTTTACACAATAGTACACAACACATGCATCTGTGTAAGGCACCCCTGGTGGCCGCCAGGTTTCTTGGGGGTGGGGTTTGTGGATGAAACACTGGCCTGACCTCCGCTGTTCCCCTCCCCCCTAGGAGATCAAGAGCAACAAGACCATTCTGCACTTGGCTGTCCAGGCTGCCAACCCGACCCTGGTTCAGCTGCTGCTGGGGCTGCCGAGGGGGGACCTGCGGGCCTTTGTCAATATGAAGGTAGGGCATAGGCTGGGCTGTGTGGGTGCTTTGAGACGCAGTCGCAAGGGGCCAGGTGGGCACCCAGGGTCCTGTGGGCCGTGGATGGTGAGGGGACAGTGGGCGGGGTGTCTTAGCGTGGGCGGGGTGTGGCTGTGAAGGGCGACTGTGAGCTCCGGGCGGGCGTGCCAGGGTATGGAGGTGTGGCTTAGAAGAGTCAGGCCCCCGTCAGCCCTCCCTTTGTGGCTACAGGCCCACGGGAACACAGCCCTCCACATGGCAGCTGCCCTGCCCCCCGGGCCGCCCCAGGAGGCCATTGTCAGGCATCTGCTGGCAGCCGGAGCGGACCCAACGCTGCGCAACCTGGAGAACGAGCAGCCTGTCCACTTGCTGCGACCCGGGCCGGGCCCTGAGGGGGTAAGCACTGTTCTGACTTCACGGGGGAGGGGGGGTCCCCAACTGCACCCAACACTGATTTAGAGGACGCCTTGTAGTCTCAGAAGGTGACCTTGGTCCCTCTCTGCTCTTCAAAGAGTGACCTATGCTGAGCGCTACCCTCCTATAATCCAACTCTTGGAAGACTAAGGCAGAAAGAGTGAGAATTTGAGCTAGCCTGGACTACATAGTGAGATCCTGTCTTAAAAAGAAAGAAAAATCCATGCCGGGCGTTGGTGGCGCACGCCTTTGATCCCAGCACTCGGGAGGCAGAGGCAGGTGGATCTCTGTGAGTTCGAGGCCAGCCTGGTCTACAAGTGAGTTCCAGGACAGTCTCCAAAACAATACAGAGAAACCCTGTCTCGAAAAACCAAAAAAAAAAAAAAAAAAGAAAAGAAAGAAAAATCCAGACAGTAGCCTCTGACCTTAATGTTTGACCCTTCCTCCAATGTGATGAGTCCTTCTGACTCCCTTTCCTTGCACTGTCAACCCTGAGATTGTGGCCTTCCGTCCCCCGGTGAGACGTGAATTGCTGTCCCCAACCCTGGATCCTGACCTTCGATGTGATTTCCCACCCTTGCCTCTGCCCTTTGACTCCCAAACAATGCTGTCCCCATGTGGGAACCCCATCTAGCCAAACCTCGCTGGCTTCCGGCTGTCTACCAGACCTCATGTGGGTTTCCGTATGTAGCCCAGGATGATCCCAACTCTCAGTTCTCCCGCCTCAACCAACCCAAGGATGACCGCGCGTGGGCCTCAGCCCGTCTTGACTTTAGACCTGTGACCTTCAACCTACCCCACTCAGTTTCCCCCCTGTCAGTAGCCCCGCCCAGGACACCACTCAGCCTCCCACGTGTCTTACTCTCCCGCATTTCTCCCTAGCTCCGGCAGCTGTTGAAGAGGAGCCGTGCGGCACCCCCAGGGTTGTCCTCTTAGGACCGAAATCCAGAACCTGGACTGATTTTTCCAGTCCCCACCGTCCCGTGGGACAGTCAGCGTATGCTCATGTCGCAGATTCATGAAAACGTATGTGGAATATCCTGCCATTAGGGTCTTACATTAAAACCCCAAAGTGGCACTGGGGGGGTGAGCGGTCCCCAATGTTTGGGGTCCTGTGACACCTCCCCCCCTACAAGGGGCTATCTAAATGATTTCTGTGAAATCGAGCCCACCTGATTGTTTCTGTGAAACACCCTAGAGACCTCTAACTCTGTCCTACTTGGACCAGCCACGATCACCTCCCCGCACCCTGCCATACACCCCCAGACACCCCAGCGGAGCCTCCGTGGGGTTTGAGGCATCCCAGGGCTCTTCCCCAGGACCCACACCCCTGAGATGTCAGAAAGGCCCTGTGAGATCAGCGTGCCCGAGTCCTGGCTGCTTCATTTGCCATTTAGAATTCAGTGTCTCAGACCCTAGCGTTCCCAGTGAGTTGTTATCCATCTGTGTATCACCGTAGCTCCCAATTAAACTCGGTTGGCCTCAAGCTGTGTGTTGTCATTCAAAGTGGGGGGGGGCACTGGTGCCCCACCGAGGGGCCACATTTGGATGGGGAGTCCAGAGTCAAGACGCATCAGAGCAAATGCCTGGTAAGGACATGAGATTTTGGCTTTTTAGACAGCCATCCCTTCCTGCTGCCGACATTTGCAGGCATCTGGTACCTAAGTGGGAAGACAGGCTGAGTGTGGTGGTGGCGCAGGCCTTTAATCCCAGCACGTGGGAGGCAGAAGCAGGCGGGTCTCTGTGAGCTACATAGTGAGTTCTAGGACAGCCAGAGCTGTATACTGATACCCCCGTCTCAAACAAAACAACAAAAGACTTCAAAGCTAGGTAGTTTGTCAGGCTGGGGTGTGGCTCAGCAGTAGAGCTCCTGCCTAGAATCCCCCAGTGAGGGTCTGGGGGTGTGGCTCAGTGGTAGAGCCCCTGCCTAGAATTCCCCAGTGAGGAGTTGGGGGTTTGGCTTAGTGGTACAGCCCCTGCCTAGAACCCACCAGGAAGGGGCTGGGGCACGCCTCATTGGCACTATTGCCCTCTTGGCAGTCATGGTGGCACACACTTTTAGTCACAGCATTCAGGAGGCAGAGGCAGGCAGATCCCTGAGTTCAAGGCCACCCTAGCAAGTTCTAAGACAGCCAGAAATACATAATGAGACCTTGTCTGAAAACAAACAAAAACACTATATTCCAACTCTAGCCCTGGCCAAAAACCAATGAAACAAAAATTTTGGGGATTGTGGCACACATGTAATTCCACCACTCAAGTTTAAGTCAAGCCTGGGTTATAGAGAAAAAACTTATCTCAATTTTTTTCATTTTAAAATTAAAAGGAGAGGGAGAGAAAGAGAGGAGGAAGGAGAGACAGACAGACAGACAGAGAAGGAAGGAAGGAAGTCAATTCTGGGGCATCATGCCCACTTCCTGCTCTAACAACTCTCAACTGCTGACAAGCAGGAGGCGATATGTAAAATTCCCCAGGCCCACATCTCCTTTCTGCACTAACACACTGAAGTGCGCTTTGCTCAGGCTCCCCGCATTCCCTCCGCAGGATCAAGCTCCAGCTCCCCGAGGAGACTGATCACACAGCCTTTTTTTCCTGGCCTCCCCTGGCCCCTGGCTATTCCAGCCCCCCACCTGTGTTCTCTCCCTATTCAATGCCTTCGGATGTCCTCAGCATCTGCGTCCAGAGAAACTCAAAGCTACTTCTCAGATTCACCCTGTAGCCATTGGTCCATCTACCCCATGGAGTTACCCAGAAAGCCCCTTTGCCCACCGGGAGTCCTCCTCCCTGTGAACTCTCATGGACCACAAACCGAGGGCTTGCTCTGCCCCCTTGACCGGATTAGGAAACATGTAGGTGATGGAGCACAGCTCTGGGTGTGACTGAGAGGGCTTTTCCAGAGATGAGGTGGTGAGCGCTCTGAGGGAATGAATTGACTCACCCTTTGAGAGATTCCTAATATAATGACTTCACTGGGCGATTGATCAGGGTCAGGAGGAGTCTAGTTGGACAGGTTAGGTCGTTGGAGATATGTCCCTGGGGGCTATGTCCTGCCCTGGCCTCTTCTGTTACTTCCTGTTAGTCATGAAGAAGCTTTTCTTCTATCTGCTCCTACGGCCTTGACAACTCCGACTCACAGTGGGTCTGCGGACCAAATCGTCTGAAACCGTGAGCCAAACACTTTCCTTAGGGTGTTTCTCCTGGGTCACAGAAGGAAAGTAACTACTACACTACATTAGTGCATTTTAGGACACGGGGCTTCGAACACTACCTCACAATGCCTGTGGCTCTGCGGTCTGGACTGGGCTCAGCTGGAAGCTTCTTGCTTCCGTCACTCCCATGACCAAAATCATCTGGGAGCTTATGCTGGAACCCAATACTGAATTAGTCACGGTATGATAACTCCACTGAGAATTGGCAGAATCATGTGGTCCAGGAGGGCGGGAGGGTCTCTCCATGGGGAGTTCCTACTTAGGGTCACTATTGCTGGGATGAAACGCCATGCATGACCAAAGCAACTTAGGGAGGAAAGGGTTTATGTGGCTTAGACTTCCATGTCCCTGCTGTCCATCACTGAAAGGAGTCAGGACAGGAACTCAAGCAAGGCAGGAACCTGGAGGCAGGAGCTGATGCAGAGGCCGAGGAGGGATGCTGCTTACTGGCTTGCTCCTCATGGATTGCTCTCAGCCTGCTTTCCTATGGAATGCCAGGTCATCAGCCCAGGAGTGGCCCCACCCACTGTGGGCTGGGCCCATTCCTACCAATCACTAACTAGGAAGACTCTACAGGCTTGCCTGCAGCTTAATCTTACAGAGGCGTTTTCTCAGTCGGGTTTCCCTCCGCTCAGATGACTCTAGCTTGTGTCAAACTGACTCGAAACTAGCCAGCCCTGTGACTAAGGGCTCCAAGAGACAGCATCTTGAGCGGAAACAGTCCTACTTGCATCAGGGTTGCTGATATGCCATTGACCGGAGTCACGTGACCAGATCTGGTGTGGTGTTTGATACACACCTATCATCCCAGCTCTTGGGAGGCTGTGGCAGGGGGATCAGAAGTTCAAGAGGATAGGGGAAAAAACTGGAGGGCGGAGTTCCCAGGGAGGGTGTTCCTGGAGGTGGTGGTATTGTGACTGGCCCATGAAGAACCCATGTGACTGTGTTGTGTTTCACATAAGAACTTACCTGCAATTGGAAATCCCTTGTACAGTCGGTTGTTTGATATACTTTAGGAGGCCTGTTTAAAAAAAAAAAAAGCTTCAGTTTAGAAAGAAGGCTGTTTTAGGGGCACAAAGCACCGGAAGAACAATGGCAAAATATTTTAATGATGGTATCTGTGGTAGTTTGAATGTAGCTGGATCCCATAATCTCTTAGGGGGTGGCACCATTAGGAGGTGTGGCTTTTTGGAGTGGGTGTGGCCTTGTTGAAGGAACTATGTCACTGTGGGGGAGGACTTTGATGTAGGAGGAATATTCTGTTCCTCCAGCCATCTCTCAAATAATCACACAGAGACTTATTACTAATTATAAATGTGCGGTCGATAGCTTAGGCTTGTTGCTAACTAGCTCTTACAGCTTAAATTCGCCCGTATTTCTCATCTATCACGTGGCTCAGTTCCTTTAATACAGCATGTTCATCTTCCTTCTCTCTGCATCTCCTGGCAACTCCGCCCTCCTCCTTCCCAGAATTCTCTCAGTTTGGCTGTCCCGCCTAACCGCTTCCTGCCTAGCTCTCCATGAAACCAACAAGAGCAACACATCCTCACAGCGTACAAAAGGATCATTCCGTGACACTTGGTGGTTTCCTCCGCTCATTATACTGCCCCGTGTCTCAGTCGGACTTTCTGGTGCCTGCAAGATTCAGGGCTCTCAGCCACGCTCCCCACGATGATGATGGACTGAACCCCTGAAACTGTAACCGAGCCACCCCAATGAAATGTTTTTCCTTCTTAAGAGTAACCTTGGTCATGCTGTCTCTTCACAGCAACGGAAGCCCTAACTAAGACAGTATTGCTCTAGAATTTAGATGTTTTTAGATGTGTGTGAGAGCCGGGCTTTGGTGGCGCACGCCTTTAATCCCAGCACTCGGGAGGCAGAGGCAGGCGGATCTCTGTGAGTTCGAGACCATCCTGGTCTACAAAGCGAGTTCCAGGAAAGCTTCCAAAACAATACAGAGAAACCCTGCCCCGAAAAAACAAACAAACAAACAAAACAAAACAAAAAAAGATGTGTGTGAGAGAGTGTGGGACCCATAGAGGCCAGAATAGGGGCATCGGACTCCCTGGAGCTGGAGTTACATGTGGCTGTGAGTTGCCTAATATGGGTGTTGAGAGCCAAACTTGAGTCTCCTAGAAGAACAAGAAGTGCTCTTAACAGCTGAGCCATCTCTCCAGCCCCTAATAACAGTATCTTAAAATTAATAGACAGAGGCTTGGCATGGTGGTACATGCCTTTGATTCCAGCACTGGGGAGACAGAGGCGGGCAGATCTCTGTGAGTTTGAGGTCAGCCTGGTCTACACAATAAGTCCCTGTCTTAAAAACAAAACAAAACAAACAAACAAGTTCATAAGCTGTAAAGGGGCTTGCTGCCAAGCCTGATGACTTTGAGTTCCATACCCAGGACCCGCAGCAGGCAAGGAGAACACTGGCCCCTACAACTTACCCATGCAGCCTGTGATGTATGCTGCTACATACATGTGCATGTAAAAACAAAACAAACAAACAAACAACAACAAAAACCCAGTCAAACATTGCCACTAGAATTTAAAATTAATCAGTTAGAGACAGGGTCTCACTACGTATCCTGGGCTGGCCTGGAACTTGCTATGTGGACCATGCTGGCTTTGAACTCACAGAAATCACCCTAGTTCTGCCTCCTGAGCGCTGGGATCAAAGGTGTGCGCCACCACACCTGGCTTAGAATGTAAATGTCCTGAGGTTGTTTTGTTTTTTGTTTTCCCCTCTCCTGGTATTAGTGGGGAATGTGTGCCTGCCTTCTCTGGGCTTAGTAAAGATGTCGCTACTATAAGATGCTGATACAAGCTGAGTTCTCTGTTGCACACCAGGTGTGCAACACACACTATCCGAGGGACTCCCTTTTGACACTTACTTGTGTCTACTGAATGTACAAGACCTGAATTGACATGGATATTTTATGGGGAGCCTCTGCCAGGTCACGAGGCCCTTGGGAGCTTTAGAAATAGATACTCCCTCCCCAAGCCATCTGTCAGAAGGGGCTCAGTACGTTAGAGTTCGGTGTGTGACTGCCACCTGCTGGTCAGTTGTATCAGAAAGGGAAATTTGTCTAGTCCAGGAAAAGCCTGGAATTTGGCCATGCACATTTGTTTGTTTATTTGTTTATCTATTTATTTTTAAATTGGAGCCTGACAAATAGTGAGCACCACGATTGTTCCTCTCCAAAACATTATTTGTTTTTTTTGTGTGTGTTTTGAGATTAGGGTCTCATGACGTGCAGGTTATTATCAAACTCATTATGTAGCAGAGAATGATGTCGAATTCAAGAAAATCTGTATTGAAATTAAAGAGATGGCTCAGTGATTAAGAGCACTGACTGCTTTTGCGAAGGACCTGAGTTCAATTCCCAGCTCCCACATGGTGGCTCACAACCATCTGTAACTCCAGCTCCTGGTCATCAAATGACATTTTTCTGGCCTCTGCAGCACCAGACACAAATGTTGTTCCCATACAAACATGCAGGCAAAACTCAAACAAATAGAACAAAAATAAATACATCTTTTAAAAAGCCTGGCATTAGTGGCACACGCCTTTAATCCCTGCACTTGGGACGCAGAGGCAATGGGATCTCTGTGAGTCTACAAGAGCGAGTTCCAGGACAGCCTCCAAAGCCACAGAGAAACCCTATCTTGAAAAACAAATACATACATACATACATACATACATACATACATACATACATACATCTTTTATCCAGGGTTTCATGTACTCTCAACTGGCCTGGAAGTTTCTATGTAGCTGAGGTTGAATTTGACACCCTTCACTTCCCCGCCCCACGTGTGTGTGTATGTGTGTGTGTGTGTGTGTGTGTGTGTGTGTGTTTGAGACAGACCCTCTCTGAGTAGCCCTGGCTATCCTGGAACTCATTCTGTAGACCAGGCTGGCCTTGAACTCACAAAAGTCCTGCTGCCTCTACCTCCTGAGTGCTAGGATCAAAGGCGTGCGCCGTCTCAAACTTCATCTTACTGTTGCATTTACTTACATATGCCTTTACTTGTTTGTGTGCATGCATGTAGCGGGGGGGCGGGGGGAGTGATGCTAGAAGCCAGCTTGTGGGAACTGATTCTCTCCTAACGAGGACCTCCGGGTTCCAGCCACATGTCCTCGCAGCGTCCAGGCCAGAGGCTTACAGCAAGCAGGTAAGGCCGGCTAAAAGATCGGAGGGTGAAAGAAAATGAATCAACTATACATGCATCCCATGGCCCTTTATTCTTCAAAAAAAGTTCTTTCCTAAAGTTCACTTCAAAAGCTTCTCTTCACTCAGGAGGCAGAGGCAGGCAGATCTCTGTGAGTTCGAGGCCAGCCTGGTCTACAGAGCGAGCTCTAGGACAGCCTTCAAAACAATACAGAGAAACCCTGTCTCGGGGGGGAAGCTTCTCTCCAAAAGTTCTCTCTTAAAATACTCTTTAGATGCTCAGATGCTCTTCCTCAATCACACAAGGTTTCGAGGTTATATACCCACTCATAAGCAAATGTCTAGCAATAGCAAGGATACCAGGTATGGGTATCTCTCTGAGCTGGGAAGGCAGATAAGGTCTTGACAAAAGCAGGGCATCTCTGCCAAGATGCGTCTTGTAAAATGTCCCGGCACAGCTTAAGAGGTGGGGGAAGGGTTAATGATGAGCTATGACTTCTAAGACGGGAGGAGGCCAGTTAGTATGTTAGCTGGTGGAAGGGGACTTGTAGCTCTATACCAAAGGGGAAAGCTTAGGCTGTGGAGTGGGAGATGTGGGGGCTGCTGCTTCCAGCCTCGGGGTAAATAATGGGGTGCTCTTACTGCTGAAGCCCCTGTGAGAAGGAATTTCCTTTCTCCAGGCCTTTTTGAGAATGCAAACCCCCCAGCATATTCTATATATCAAGATTATACAGCCAAATGAAATCATTCTCCTGACTTCCCACAGATATATGTATCCAGTAGACGGAGTATTTCCACGAGATAAACGCACATAAGCTGTGGGAATCACCCAAAGCTGTTCTTAGGGAGGAGATGAAGGGACCCATGGGAGAAATTACAGACAGGAGCAACTGATTTCCACAGCCAGCGACTCCACGGCCTTTCCAGGCGGAGCTCCCTGTCACTCGCGCGCTGTTGAGTATTAGTTACCCTGCTGTATTTCTCATGACCCTTGACATCCTTTTGACGTGCAGTTCTGGGAGTCATCAGGCTTAGTGGCAGGCACTTTTTTCCACTGAGCCCTGTGACCCACTAACCTTGATCTTCAGATCCTCTACCTCCTGAGTGCTGGGATCAGAGGCAGGTTCTGCTATGTCCACTTTATACCCTTCCCGGCCTCTTAAGCTGTGCCTGGATGTTTTACAAGCTGCATCTCCTCTAAGATGTGAGGCGCCCCTCTTTTGTCAAGACCTTATCTGCCTTCCTGGCTCTGAGAGATATGCAAACCTTGCTGTGGCCCGGTTGAGCTCAGGGTAAGCATCCAGGGGTTGAGCTGTAGTCCCCATTCTCTTCCTAATGTTTTAAAAGTCACTGAACAAAAAGTTGCTGAGTAGCAGGTACTGTTAAAATACCTCCATGTATAATCCTTGACTCCTCCTAAAAGCTGTCCTTGGCATCGGCAACAGCAAGTGGAGAGGGATAGTCCTAACATGTCACGAGCTTGGATTCAAGAGAGTTCAGCAGGTGCTGCTGGTATTAAATATCTATCTCTGAGACGACATTGGCGTGGGATCGACAAGGGCTGGGAATGTAGCTAAGTGGCAGAGTACCTGATGAGTATGCACAGCCAGACCTTGGAATATCCACTTAGGAGGCAGAGGCAAGTGGATCTCTGTGAGTTCAAGGCCAGTCTGATCTATATAGTGAGATCCAGTACAGCTGGGGCTATGTATTTTTGAGACCCTATCTCAAAAAATGTATTTTATTTTTGGCTTAAACGAGACAGGGTCTCTCTGTATTGTTTTGGAGGCTGTCGGTCCAGCCCGGTCTCGAACTCACGGAGATCCGCCTGTCTCTGCCTCCCGAGTGCTGGGATTAAAGGCGTGCACCACCACCGCCCGGCAAAAAGTGTATTTTTTTGAAACAAGCATGAGCTTATTCCCAGTCTTCCCAGGACTGGCAGATTGGAATGGGTGTTGACTGTACATAGAAGGCTGGAGAAGGGGCTTGGAGACGGTTTACAGGGTGAAAGGTGATTGCCTCCAACCCCTAAGACTTGAGTTGTATCCCCAGGACCCAAATGTAGAAGGCAATTCCTGCAGATTATCTTTTCAACTCCACTTACACAACGTGGCGTGCATTCCCCGAGAGAGAGAGAGAGAGAGAGAGAGAGAGAGAGAGAGAGAGAGAGAGAGAGAGAGAGAGAGAGAGAGAGAGAGAGAGAGAGAGAGAGAGAGAGAGAGAGAGAGAGAGAGAGAGAGAGAGAGAGAGAGAGAGAGAGCGCTTAGGGGGCAGCGGGGGACATCACTGGGAAGACGGGAGAGGCCGAGGCCAATGGTCCACCCTGAACTAGGAGAACTAGGAGCAGCGATCAATTCAGCACCACGGAAAGCTCCCCGGCAGGCCCGGGAAAAGCCCAGCCAAAGCCTCTGGGTCCCGCCCCCTACGCGGTAATCTTCCTTCAGGCCCCACCCAGATTTAAAGCACCCTCATCCAGGTTCGTTTGGTTCGGTTCGGTTCGGTTTGGGACCCTCACAGAAATCTATCGGCCTCCCTCCGCCTCCTGAGTGCTGGGATTAAAGCTGTGTGCCTCCACACCCACCCCTCACCCGGTTTAAAAAGCTAAGCAGTGATTCTTCAACAGAAACGCGGGACGGCCTGGTGGTGGGGAAAGACAGCTTTATTGGGGTGTTAGTGAAGAAACGGGACAGTGAATTCCAGGGGGCGACATACACTGGGACCCGGGTGGCTGTCACCTTAAAGGAGCAATAAATTAACATAAAATAAATTAAGGGCAGCAGCTAGGAATTTCTAGGATGGGGGCGTGGAATTTTGAACCGGGAAAGGGAAAATAAGAACGAATTTGTCAAGATCTCCCTCCCCCACCCGAGGCTGGGAGTTGGGACTGAGGGCCAGGAAGAGGGGCAGTGTGGGCTCAGCCGGGGGCGGGGTCAGGGTCGTTCCTCCAGGAAGCGGTAGGTGGGGTTCTCGTAGCCATGCCGCTGAAGTTCCCGGAGTTGCTGCTCCTCCAGGGTCAGCATGGGGTCCACCTGCAGCAGGGCCAGGGGAGGACTCAGTGCACCGGGGCCGCGCTCGCTGCCGACTCCTACCCCCGCCACGATGTCCGCACCCCTCACCTCCACCACTCCGTGGCTGATAGTCCCATAGGGTTTCTTCTTGCGCAGAAGCAGCAAGGACAGAACAATGAGGGAGCCCCCTCCGGCTCCCATGATCAGCAGAGCCGACACAGCCTCTCGGGACACTCCAGTCCCAGCTGGTGCCTGTGGGGAGAGGAGCTGAGACCCTGGGTACCATTGAGGCCCACCGGGGTCCAGTGCGGTTTGGAGGCCACAGCCTGGACACTGACCTCTGACCTCTCCCCCCAAGCTCGCCCTCCCCTTACCAGTTCATCCCGCTGGATATCAGACGCATGGAAGGGAAAACCCCTTGGGACAGATGCATTCACCTGGGGGAGCAACAGATGTTTTATGGCTCCAAGACCCAGGAGGGTACCTCTTCCCCCAACAACACTAAGTCCACATCCCTAGGAAGTTTCTAGAACCTTCCCTCTGCCCCCCCCCGACTCCAGACCCTCCTCGTCTTGGGAGCCCAGGTCCCACTTACCTTTTGCTCGTACTGCTCCAGTGGGGACAGCTTCTCTTTCCCCGGGGAGGAAGAGTCTTGATCTGTGGACCCTACGCAACCCAAGTCACATCTCAGTCTTGAGGGTCCGGACACCTCCAGAGGGCGCTGGATTCCACCCCAGGAGGACTGGGTTTCCTACTGTATACAGTGCTTTCCCTTCACAACTTAGGGTTCAGAGGGATTTAGTGTCTGGGGTGTCTGCTGTATGGCACTTACCTTTTGGAAGAGTCACCGGGGTGTCTGCAGGCCGGAGGGGGCAAGTTGATAGAACAGTCGAGAGAGGAAGTCACGAAATACAGAATAGAGAACCCCCCCACACCCGGCCCCAGGACCAAGAACTCTACAAAGGCCCCACACCCCCGGATAGCGCTCCTTATTCCTTCCTGCCTATCTGTGGTGGCACAGATGCCCCCAGACCTTGGAGAATTAGAAAGAAGGTTGCACGCTGGGTATGGTGGTGCACACGTCTCCAACCTTAGCACTTGCAAAGCTAGGACAGGAAGACCATGAGTTTGAGGCCAGCCTAGGCTAAACAGTGAGTTCTAGGTCAGCCTGAGCTACAGAATGAGACCCTGTATCGACAATCTGCTGAGTCGGGCCTCATGGCGCACGCCTGTAATCTGAGCTACTAGGCACACTGAAGTGTGTAGGGTCAAAAAAAAGTTCAAGGCCTGCCCAGGCCACTTAGCCTGTCATGCTCTAACTGCACGTACACCTTTACACCAGAAGAGGGCATCAGATCCCACTACAGAAGGTCGTGAGACACCACATGGTTTGCTGGGACTTGAACTCAAGACCTCTGCAAGAGCAGCCAGTGCTCTTAACCTCTGGGCCATCTCTCCAGCCCCTAGACTGCCTGTCTTTAAAAAAAAAAAAAGTGGACAGGGGGCTAGAGCTGGCGCCGGGTGGAAGAGCTCTTGCGGTATGGACAGAGCCCTGGGTTGGTTCCTCAACAGCTTCTCCCTTCGGGCCATGGACTCCAGCATTTAAAGCAAGCGAGGCTTGACTCTCCAGGGCCGACATTCTATGTTCAGGCTCACTCACCATCCTTGGATTCCAGAGGCTGAAGCCCACCCTTGTCTTCACTGCTGCTCCCCGGCACAGAGGCCTCCAGTTCGCTGGGACCCAAGCGTTCAGAGTGGAGAAGCTCCTCTGAGGGGACATGCAGAAAGACAGCTAGGGTGACCAATAGGGACACAACAGCGGGGCACAGCAGGGCACCCTAGTGGTAGAATGGGGGGGGGAGATGACTCCACGCCAACAGCCCTGCCTAAGTGTGCCCAGCAGAGTGGCCCGCTGGGCGGAGGTGCCCCCGGCAGGAGACACGGGGTCTAAATTTGCAATAGCCCTACCTCCTTAAACACCAGGAGGGTTAGAGCTAGACATGGGACATCTGGGAGGAAGTCACAGTAAACACAGTGACAAAAAGCAATTGCCCAGCAAGCCTTCCCACCAAAAGAACCAAATGTACAACTGACCAGTAGCCTTCCCACCAAAAGAACCAAATGTACAACTGACCAGTAGCCTTCCCACCAAAAGAACCAACTAGCTGAGCCCAGACCAGAGGAAAACGATTCAAAGTGAGAGCAAAGAAAAATGGCTCTTAGTTAGGACCACCAAGTTCTAGGGTGATTTACATGAAGAATGAGGGGTTTGAGGGTCAGGAGTCTAAGATTGCCCCCAAGGGACTGAAATTCGGGACAAAGGCAAGGGGCACTCACGGATCTGGGGTCGCAGCTCCTGAGCCAGGTGAGGGCTCTGGTCAAGCAGCCCCAGGCTCTGATTCATCCGCTCCTCAATCACCTGAAGGTGGGTTTGCACCTGTGGGGAGCATGAGACAGGAGGCGAGGGCTGCAGAAGGGCAGGGTGATGGAGGAGTCCAGCAGGGCCCGAGAAAGCAGAACAGACAGTCCACGGGGAGTAGGTGCGAGGGTCGCTCAGCCACAGGGGGAAGGAAACCCAGGAAGAAGCAGCAGGATCCAAAGGGGAGGAAGAGATGTGTGTCACACCGGAAGTTCAAGGCTTGGAAAAGGGGTAGCCCCAGGAAAAGCAGGGTACTGGATGCAAGGTGAGGGTAGGATTCAAAAAATAAATACGGCATGGTGCGGGGTGTGGTGGCACAGCCTTTAACAGCAGCACTTGGAAGGCACAGGCCGGTCTCTGGGGGGTTTGAGGCCGTAGAGAGCTCCAGGCCAGAGGGGGCTACAGAGGGGAAGAGGGAGGAAGGGAGGTGGGGAGGGGGAGGGAGAAGGCAGGGCTGGAGGAGAGGATGTGTAGGCTGTCGGGGAAACAGGAATTGGTATAGAAGATACTGACTCAAGGGCCAGGCTTGAACACTCAAGAATACAGAAAAGAGTATCTGTGGACCAGAAGAGAAACCAGAACTAGAATCTCAGGGCAGACAGCAGGGCTTCTAGGGAAAACCAGTGGGACAAGGGAGGAAGGCTGAAGGAAAAGGATTCTGGGAAAGGAAGCAAAGTCCAAGGGATAGGAAGCAAGAATCCAAGAGACAGAAAGCAGGGTTCCACAGGACAGGAAGTAGGAATCCCAGGGGGCAAGAAGGGAGTGAAAGGCAAGCATTGGTGGCGCATGCCTTTAATCCCAGCACTCGGGAGGCAGAGGCAGGCGGATCTCTGTGAGTTCGAGGCTGGGCTGGACCGATAGCCTCCAAAACAATACAGGGAAGCCCTGTCTCGTAAAACCAAAAAAAAAAAAAAAAAAAAAAAAGGAGTGAAAAGCACAGTGTAAGTGGTGTGTGTGAGTGAGTGTGTGTGAGTGTGTGTGGTGTGTGTGCACGTGTGTGTGTGTGTGTGTGTTGGGGGTGGTGTTCCCGCATCAAGAAGTCGGAATTCGAGGAACAGGAATGCAGGATGGAGGGACTGGGAAGGGTTTGGGACACAAAAGGGAAGTTCCACGCGTAGTGCAGGGCTCTAAATTGAAAGCGAGGGTCAAGAGGAGAATCTGGGGCCTGGAGGGGCAGCTCTGCAGTTAAGAGCACTGGCTGCTCCTCCAGAGGACTCAGGTTTAATTCCTACCACCTACACGGCGCTCACAACTGTGTGAACTCCACTTCCAGGAGACTCAACATCCTCTTCTGGTCTCCCCCGAGACCAGACACAGATGTGGCGACCAGCCATACATGCAAGCTTTAATAAATCGTAAATAATATATCACCACAATTCCCCTTTTTTGTCTAATACAAAAAGAAGGCTACAGCTAACATAAGAAAAACTAAACACAGTAAATATATACAATATATACAGGCAACAAGTTCATCAACAGTGCCTAGTCCATTTGCATTTGACAAATTCAGAGAGAATACTCCATTATCTGTTCTATCTGGTGAGTGCGAAGTCCTGTCCCTAATTTATTTTCTATTCTAATTTGCATGGTCAAATTATCTTTTAATGTCTCTCAACATTTTACGCTTTACACCTCTTTAACGAGTTTCCTTTTCTGAGTCTGGTAAACGGTGAAAACTACAACTATCATCTAGTCCTCAACTCCCTCAGAGACCCAAGAAGGAAATAATATCAACTGAGTATGCAGGAAGTGTCAAAAAGTGTACGCCACCATCTCCCGGCTCACATCACATCTTGTATAGAGAGAGGAGCGTCCGAGATAGAGAGAGAGAGACAGAGACAGAGACAAAGAGACAGAGACAGAGAGAGACAGACAGAGAGACAGAGAGAGAGAGATTGGGGGAGAGAGAGAGAGAGAGAGAGAGAGAGAGAGAGAGAGAGAGAGAGAGAGAGAGAGAGAGAGAGAGAGAGAGAGAGAGAGAGAGAGAGGGGCGTCTGGGCTAGCAGGGCGTCTGGGACCGGAAGCACACGTGTACCTGGAAGCGCATCTGCTGGGCCTTCTCGGGATCCACGGCGGCCACGTGCTGGTAGTGTCTCAGGGTGTGCCTCTGCTCCTTCTGCTCGGCACGCAGGTAGCGCCTCAGGGCGGTCAGAACCCGCTCGGCCTGGGGGGGGGGACCCAAGGCTGCCTAGGCTGAACCCAGCTCTCCGCCCCTGCCGTTTGCCCCCCACCCCTACCTGCGTTACCTGAGGCGGATCGCCCTGTAAGGCTGCCAGGAAGCCTTCCAGGGCAGCTCGCCGCTGGTCATTGATCAGGGCGATGACCCTGGTGGCGTGGGTCTCCACCAGGCGCTGCCGCTCACCGGACACTTGTTCCTCCAGGGTCTGCAGGATGGACTGGAAGTGCTAGGGAGGGGTAAAAATGCGGAGGGGGGGTGCAGAGAGGACGGGTGAGAGCCTGAGTGGACGGGAGCCCAGGGCCAGCAGGGTTGGGCTTCAGTGGCTCGGTGGAGGAGACGGGAGGCAGGGCCATGGGGTAGGGCTGGCCCGCTGGGACCCGGTTTGAGGGTGTAGGCTGTAAGAATAGGCGGGAACAAGCCGAAAACACAACTGGTCCGCTCTAAGTATAAGGGAAAATTTGGGTTGCTTGGAAGCAAAAGGCAGGTGGAGCGTCCCCAACGCCGGCGGGGTGAGGCCCGGGACTGGGGGCTGATCTAGAGGATTCGACATGAGGAGGGGTCCACAAAGACAGCGGCGGGGAAACGGGGCCAAGAGTTAGGAGGCGGGGTTTGTTAGACACGGGCGAAGGTGGGGGGAAAATGAGAGGACCGGCGGCTACTCCAGGAGGCTCCACTTGAGACGGGTCCAACGCCAGCCAGCAGAGGGCAGTGCTCGCCCAGCGCCATGCCCCAGGCTCTGGGCGCCAACCCCAGCAGAGGCACATGCGGGGGCGGGGCCGGCAGGGGCCAGGGTGACTAGGAAGGGGTGGGAACCCCAGAGGTGGACAGAGGCATGGGTGAGGCTCAGCGGAGGGAGGGCGTCCTACCTCGTTCAGGGCCTGCCTGTCCGCTTTCGGTAGGTTCTTTGACTGGTTGTCGGCCATGGCCCACTCGCGCATCACCTGGGGGTGAGTAGGGGGGCTTCAGGCTCCCAGGGGCTACCCTAGTCCACACAGAGAGTCCCCCGTCCCCCTCCCATATCCAAGGCTCAAGAGGATGAAGATCAACTACAGCCACTGGACTTTGGATTCCCAAGAAGGAATAGCCACAGGCTATTTTTCTTTTTCTTTCTTTCTTTCTTTCTTTCTTTCTTTCTTTCTTTCTTTCTTTCTTTCTTTCTTTCTTTCTTTCTTTCTTTCTCTCTCTCTCTCTTTCTTTCTTTCTTCCTTCCTTCCTTTCTCTCTCTCCCTTCCTTTCTCTTTCTTTTTTTGTTTTTTTTTATAATTTTTTCTTTTTTTAAAAATATATTTATTCCATATACAGTGTTCTGCCAGAAGAGGGCACCAGATCTCATTATAGTTGGTTGTAAGCCACCATGTGGTTGCTGGGAATTGAACTCAGGACCCCTGGAAGAACCTCTGAGCCACCTCTCCAGCCCCCCCTTTTTTTTTGTTTTTGAGACAGGCTCTCACATAGCCCAGACTGGTCTCAAACTCCTTATGCATTTAAGGCTGGCCTTGAACTTCTGGTTCTCTTCCCTCAGCCTCTCAAGCATTAGAATTAAGGCACATGTAATTGTGCCCAACCATTTCCCAGGGGATTTAACATGGATTGTGCCACAGACCAGAGTGTCTATGGTATCTAGCGGCATTTCAATGCTCTGCTAGGCAGGTCAGTGATCCAATGCCATCTTAGAGGGTGGCGTCCAGGGCTCAGGTGGACAGACGCTTAGGTGTTCTTTCAAGGCAGTGTCAGTAAAGAATTCCCCACGCCTCTAACCCCAGCACTCGGGAGGCAGAGGCAGGCGGATCTCTGTGAGTGCGAGGCCAGCCTGGACTACAGGGCGAGTGCCAGGCCCTGTATTTATGGAGTCACGTGGTGACGTGGGGGGGTTTCCCGGTAGGGTCACCTCATTAATCTGTCGCATCCTCCGCTCCTCCAGATCCATCTTGGCCCTCAGGAACCCCTCGTGCTCGCTGATTTCCCCGGGCATGCCGAAGTAAACGTCCACGCCATCAGTGGGCCTTGGGGTGGGAGTGGCTGCAAGGCAAAGGATCGGAGCCGGGCGTTGGTGGTGCTCGCCTTTAATCCCAGCACTCGGGAGGCAGAGGCAGGCGGATCTCTGTGAGTTCAAGACCAGCCTGGACTACCAAGCGAGTTCCAGGACAGCCTCCAAAGCCACAGAGAAACCCTGTCTCGAAAAACCAAAAAAAAAAAAAAAAAAAGGATCGGGCCGCGGGTCAGCTTTCCTCGCTGAGAAGGACATTTCCCAGGGTGCACCGAGGACCACCATCGTGCATCCGGTCTAGACACAGCTGCTGCCTGGCACCGGGACTCCAGGCCTGGCCTGTGTTGGCAGCATTCTGGAACCTATCGCACCATCTCCAAAGCGTGGCGGAAACGACCGCCACCCCCCCTCAGGGCCCATAGAATGACCCCTCCCCTCCCAATCACCCCTCTGCAGGCCTTCCTCCCTCCTCCCTCCTCCCTCCTCATTCCTCACAGACTAACCTACCAAACCCAACGCCACTGACGTCTCTTCTGTCTCTTCCATTTCCCCGGTTGTGTCCCCTCCCGGAAGCACCCCCACACTGCCCCCAACCACCAGGGAGACTGCCTCACCTGTGCTGATCATGACAGGAGTGTGGGAACTGGGGGGTGGGGCCCCTTCCTCCTCCTCCTCCTCCTCTTCAGCCTGAGGGGGCTCCACGAAGTAATCGTCTACCGGCTGAGGGAAGGGTTCGACCTCTTCCTCATCCTTACCTCCCTCTGCTCTGCCCGCCAGGGGCCAGGACCGGGTAGAGGGGTCACTGAAGGAGCAGAAGAGTGGGCAGTAAGATCTCGGTGCAGGCTCCCGGAAGGGGCTTCCACGCCCTGCCTCGGGAGCCTTGGGGAGGGTACAGACAGAGGCTCTGTCACTCACCCAACTGCCATCCCGGAAGGGTTGGGGGTTGCTGGAGGCGGGCAGCAGACATACTCCACACCTCGGAACCGGTCAGAGCCGCAGGGCAGAAGCATGCCGGAGCCGTGCAGGATGAGACCCTGGGAGCGGCAGGCCTGCAGGGAGACGAGGCCAGAATGGCCTGGGCAGGGGGCATGGACCGGGAGCCCGCATGCCAGCCTCCAGGGGACCGGCTGAGGGAAGGAATTTCTACACCCCACTTGGAACTCTTGGGTTCAAGAAGGAAGGGCCTAGACGTAGGTCCTGGGGTCAGGCGACGGGCGGAACCGGGTGCTCACCTCCTGGGCCTCGCGATGCCTGCTGCCGGAGCTCTCACACTGGTCCATACGCTCTTGATGCAAGAAGCGACAGCCTTCGGGCACTAGCAGGGCTTCGCTTACGAACTCACCAGCTGGGGAACGGGAGACGCCAGAATCATAACAACACAGCCCTGCCGCCCTCCTCGGAGCCGGGGACCCTCAGAGGTGTCCAGGATCATAACACAACCCTGCGGCCCTCCTCGGAGCCGGGGACCCTCAGAGGTGTCTCTGCCGGTCACCCAGACTCCGCACGCAGACCCGAGTCAAGCTGGACACCTCCTCTCTGAGAGACTCCCACTCCCCCTCGGTTCCCGTCCCCCGACATCACGGTGACTCACGCAGGCAGTGGAAGGGCACAACTTCATGGTGGGGGTGGGCACATCTGCCGCTTCGGGTGCCCCCACACCAGCGCTCCACTGGGATGGCCTGCGCAGCCTGCTCCACACGCGCGATGTGCAGCTCGGGGTACATCTGCGGGAACCCCGAAGTGGAGGTCAACCCGCTGGCTACCCCAGCCGTCGAGGCTACCCCAGCTCACCCGAGTCGCAGCACTGGGGATCGAACGCACGGCCTCAGGAAGGTCAGAGCGAGCCCTCTGTGGCCGAGCTGCCTGCCCAAGCCTCCTTTTGTTCTTTAGTTTGAAGCCAGGTCTCGACAGCTTTCCTAAACCGGTCTTGAACATCCTGTGGCCCAGTTCAGTTCGCAATCCTAGCTATGCTCAGCTTGGCCATTCCCTTTTCAAGTTTCTAGTATTCATAAGAGCATCCCCCGGTCGTCCTCTCTTGTCTAGAGCACTAACTGGTAACTAAGCCTCGGGGAGCGGGGGGTGCATTGGTCATGCCTCTAGCGCGACCCCTTAAGCTCGCCATTCTCAGGGGGGCTTGGCAGAAGTCCCAAGGCCTGTTTCGTTGAAGCTCAACTTCTCCAAGTCCACTTCTCAGGGCAACCCTGCCCTTCAGGCAGGTTTCTTTCTTAAAATAGCTCGCCCTCTCTCTCTCTCTCTCGTGCCCTGCCTTCCCCCCCCCTCCCCCGCCCCGTTCAGCTTCTGAGTAACTCTCCTCTCCGTACCGGCCCCGCCTCTTCATTTCACGCCTCCGTGGAACCCACTCCCATTGGGCTCCACCGCTTCCCGCATCTTGTCGGCTTAAAGGTCTTTTTAATCTAAACCCAGCCTCTGGTCTGGCCACGCCCACTTTCGCTCCCACTTTTTCTAAAGAGCTCCACGAATTCCTCAGCCCGGCCACTCTACGGGCGGTCTTGATTAGTCGACGTTTTTGCACGTGTTTGTTTGTTTGTTTGTTTTTCCCCTCCTCCTATCTCAAAATAGGTTCTGCCCTAGGCCCGCCTGGTTTCTTCGCTGGCCCCAGACCCCAAGCTTCCCCCGGGCTTCCCAGATGTCACCTCCCCGGCCGGACTCGGCCTTCCTCGAGTCCAACTTCCTCGAGGGCGAACCCCCGCCCCAGCCTGGACCCACTGAGCACTGACCCCGCCTCTGCCCGCGGGCCCCGCCCACCTGTCTGCAGTACTCCAGCACGCGCTGCGGGTCCAGGAGACAGCGTCGCGATCGCTGGGGGTCTGGCTCCCAGCGACCGGTGCGCAGGTCCCGATGGAGGGTCAGACGCCCACATAGTCCAGCCACCTGGGCTGACCCCGGAGCCTGGGGGTGGAGGCAGATGGGGCAGTGAGGGACCCGGGGGACGTTGGCGTCTGGGTTATCTGGCCCCCTAAAACCCAGATGCGCGCCTGCCCCCAGGAGCAGATCCTTCTACGCTCTCCTGGGTGCGGGGACCGTTCCCCGGGAAACAGATCCCGCGGGGCGGGAGCTCCCCAGCTCTCCCGTTGCTATGGTGAACCCGGATCCCACTCTCTCCCCTCCCCTCCCCGCCCACACCCCCCTCCCGGGTTCCTCGCGGCCTTGTTGCTGAGAAGACAGGCTCCGCCCCCGCCCCAGCGTCTTGGCTCTGGAGCCCGAAGGGGTTAAACGTGAATCGTGGGGCGGGGGGGCGCAATCCAGGCGTTCTGGCCCCTCCTCCGCCCATCTCCAGTTCGGGTTCCCATTGAGGGGGTGCAAAGACGCAAGGGCCTGGCTTCCCCGAAGGCCTGCACGTCAGGCCCGTAAGGACCAGGGGGCTATATCCGGACGATGGGGGGTGGGCAGGGGGCTCGCGTGGGTCCCGAGGATACGGGGGACCTGGATTCTTAGATCCAAGCGCCTGCTGCCTGGTGGGTCCTACGTTCAGGTGCGCAGGGCTTGGGGCTTTGTCGGCTAGGCTTGAGCTGGATTTCCAGGGCCAGGGGCTCTTGGAAAGACAGGGTCCGACGATGCGGGTGGGAGGGGGCAGGGAAGTCAGGCGATGGAGGGGCCCAGGGAAACCTAGAGTTCGGCGGAGAGCATGGGGGAGGCCACCTGGCTGAAAGGACAGCGCTTTCTGCGGTGGCCGCGCCGCGTCCAGATCCGGAGGCCCGGTCCCGCCCCTTCCCCCATCCCCAGAACCCGGCCGGCCCTCACCTCGGCCGCGCCGGGGCTCCCACCGGCCAGGCTCCCGACGGCGAGCTGCGCGCGCAGAAGCAGCAGCAGCAGCGACAGTGGCAGCAGCAGCGGCAGCGGCGGCGGCGGCGAGCCCTGGCGGCGGCCCTGACCGCGAGCGGCGGGGCTGGCGGGCCCCATGTTCGGGCCTCGCGCCCTCAAGTCCCCTGCGCTCCCGCCCGGCCCAGCCCGGCCCCAGCGGTGACAGGAGCTCCCAGCGCCACCGACGCCGCCGCCTCCTCCTCCTCCCGCCGCCCCCGGGCTGCGCCGGCGCCGCCAGCCCCGCCCCGCGCCGGCCCCGCCTTCCCGGCCAGGACAATAGCGTGGCGGCTCTGCGCACTGAGAGGCTCGGGAACCCCGAGAGGGAGCCTGCGCCAAGCCCCAGCCCCTCGAGATTCCAGGTGTCACACCCCCACGTTAAGGGCCAGGCACCAGGCTCAGTCGTTGGGCTCAGCCTTTTTGGACCGTGAGCTCTCTCTCTCTCTTGGGACTGTCACCTTTCTGGCAAACGCAGACACCCACTATCAGCTTTGTCCTCCAAGGATGCCAAGAATCCACTGGGCGTGGGGGGTGGGGAACTCCTGCGTACGTTCCTCTCTTGAGGTCCCAAGGATGCAGACCTCCAAATTTCCCCAGTCAAAAACATAGAAGCAGCGTGTGGAAGCACGCCTGTAATCGCAGCACTTGACAGGTGGAGGGCAGGAAGGGAGTTTGGGGCTAGCCCGCCTGCCTGAGACCCAGTTTCAAAAGATAAAACAGTAAATTAGACCTGGTTCCCTCTAGGCCTCTTCTGTCTCAGGACCAGAGACCAAGTCCGCGGCCCTTTCATCCTCGGACCTAGGAACTCAGTCTTCCTGCCCTGGTTGCCAAGTGTCTGGACCTTCAAATTCTCCATCCAAAAAAAAAAATCCTTTCTTTAAAGATGACTTGGGTTAGGTGCTGGGTACAGTTACATTCAAAGACCCAACTCCTTAGGATTCACGGTGTGGAGCTCCACTCACTCATTGGGCCAAAACTCAAGCCTTCTCCCTAAAGGGCTCACTGTTTCGTCTCTCGAGGGAGTGTAGACTATTCTCTTTCCCTGGCCGACTGAGGCAGCCCAGCTGTGTGTGGACTTGTAGGTGTGTCTTGTGGGAACCTGCCCACATCTGCCTGACTTCTTGTTTTCAACTGAGTGTGCATGGGTGTGGGTGTGGGTGAGGTAGGGGTGTATTATTAAACGAGCCTAAAGTGGGATGGTGATGTACACCTATAATCCCCGGGGCGGGGGGGGGCTGAGGACGGAAGATCAAGAGCTCCAGGCCAAACTGTATTGAGAGAAGACTTCGTGGCTAAAAACTCTGGCTGCTCTTCTAGGAGACCTGGGTTCAAGTCCCAGCACCCACGCTGTCTGTAACGCCAGTTTCAGGGGATTCGTTGCCCTCTTTTGGCCCAGGGACCAGGAACACGTGTGGTGCAAAGAAATACATGCAGGTAAAACACTAACACATGCAAAACAAAAATCATAAATCCTTAAAAATGAAAAGAAATGAAAATGCCTACATTAGTAAGAATCTAGCAAGGGGTTGAGAAAGGACTTGGGATTTACTCCTACTGACACCCCATGGACCTCTTGTTTTGTTTGTTTGTTTTTCCAGACAGGGTTTCTCTGTATTGTTTTGAAGGCTGTCCTGGAACTCACTCTGTAGACCAGGCTGGCCTCGAACTCACAGAGATTTGCCTGCCTCTGCCTCCCGAGTGCTGGGAATAAAGGCATGTGTCCAGACTCCAGGCTGTCATGGACCTCTTCATTCACAGAAAACACGAGACTCCTCCAAGCATATTTGCCTCTTTGCCCCTTTTTTTTCCTAATTAAACATAAATATTCTTAGCCCATGAATCCCCTTTATCTCTTATTTATACAATGTTCTGTCTGCATGTCTGCCTGCAGGCCAGAAGAGGGCGCCAGATCTCATTACAGATGGTTGTGAGCCACAGAGGGGTTGCTGGAAATGGGTCTCAGGTCCTCTGGAAGAGCAGCCAGCACTCCTCTGAGCCATCTCTCCAGTCCCCACCCCCTTTATCTCTTTTATTCTCACCCTATCCCCACTTCTTGGATTCCATTTTTTCTGTGTCTTTAAGGAAGGAATCAAGACCGTGGTCATTTTGAGTTCTCATGGAATGAACAGCCGTATTGGCTATACTTTTATTGACCAAAGTTCCCCTCCCTGGGAAAGCCAGGACTGGGTGGGGGGATTATTTCTCTCATCTTGATTTGTCTTATGCTATCATTGTTCTTGATGAAGACGGTCATTTTCAAATATCTTTTCTACTGGCTAGAAATGCCTTCCATCCATGTCCCCAACTCCCATCACCTCCTGTCTTTGTCCCTCTGCAAAGAGTTTAGTCACCATTTTGAATGTCTTTCTCCCAGGAGAACAAATGGGCATAATGGTCATATTGCTGCTACTTGGAGCATCCCCTTTGGCGGAGCCTGCTAGGCATCAATGATCCTGACGGCTGTTTCCCTCCTTCGGTGTTCAGATGTGGAGGAGTAGGTCATCGACTTGTTCTGATTCCTCGGAATGCTGGACAGCACATGATGGCAAGTTGGCGATCTCGAGACTCTTCAATTAGAGAGACGCCTTCACACATGAGTCTGGAGACGCTGATGGCTGGGTGGAGACAAGGTAGCATAGGGGAAGGGGGGAGTCCCAGAGCTCAAATCTGGGGGTCCAAAGGATGTAGGCTTCATGTAGCTAGCGAAGGCACGGGGGTGAGGGGTGGTGAGGTAACCAGCCCGTGCTCTGTACAGTCTGCAGGTGGGTACTAAGTCCAAGTGTGGCTTGAAGTCATAGTAAGTAGGAGTCCCTGGAAGTCCAATCGGAGAGGGGGGTGGCAGGAAGAGGCCTCCTCCGGGGGCTTCCCCAAGGCTGAGGCTCACACTGACTCCTCGGACCTTGTAGTAACCGTTGGTTGGATCCTGGGGAAGAAGTGAGACTTGGTACAGAATGTGGGGGTGTAGGAAGGTAAGGATCATGGGTGGAGAGACACACAGAGCTACAGCCAGACCTAGAGAGAGGCGCAATGGCACAAAGAAGAAACAGCGGGAGCAGTGACTCCTCGACAGAGAGATCTGGGCACATAAATGGCAGAGACAGGGTAAGCGCTAGCCTCCTAGAACAAGCACGGTCTGGTTGAAGTCAAGAAGGGAGGGGAGAGGGAGGATTTCAGGTCAAGAGGAAAGCATAATCAAGTGTGGACAAGAGGCTTTAACTGGGGTTAGGGATGTAGTTCCGCCGGCAGGGTGTTTGTCTAGCATGCTCAAGGCCCTCGGTTCAGTTCCCAGTGCACATAAACTCGGTGTGATGGCTCATGCCATCCCAGCACTCGGGAGCATAACCAGGAGTTCTAGATCGTTCTTGGCTACATACTCACTTCACGAGGCTCTGTCTCAAAGAAAAGTCACGGAGGGGGCTTTAGAACAGGAGCCAGGATTGGAATCAATGCATGTATCCTAAGACAGGATTTCAAAGCAGGACTGTCTTTGGGAAATGTGGTGTTAGTGTGGGACCAAGTGGGCGGAAGGCTCCCGGCTGGTAGAGAGCAGCCAAAGAGAACCTAGAGGTATGGAACACGCTTGATGGGGGAACGGAGGCCTGGAGACCACGGAGAAACAATGGGATCACTTAAGCTCTGGAGCCTGGGAGCCATGAGCTGGCCCAGGAGTTAAAGGTAGTGTTCTGTTTTATTTTTCTTTTGAGACAGGGTTTCTCTGTGTAACGGCTGTCCTGGAACTCTCTCTGTAGACCAGGCTGGCCTTGAACTCATAGAGATCCGCCTGCCTCTGCCTCCCGAGTGCTGGGGTTAAAGTCTTGAGCCACCGTCTGGCAAAGGTAGGTCTTAAGACGAGGGGATCAAAAGCAGGAGACTGAATCAGGGAAGCAGCCAGGCGTGGTGCTGAGGTCTGAAGTCCTACTTTGTAATCCCAGCAGTCTAGTGGCGGCAGGAGAAAGACCAAAGCCGGCTACACAGTGTGAGACCCTGACTCCATAAAGCTTTAAAAAAAGAGGAAGTGTGGAGGGGTGGAGATCGGTGATGGATAGTGAGCCCCCCAAAAATACTCACCGCTGTCTCCAGAGCCTCCTTTTCATCCAGAATCAAGTCACTGTGGTCCGTGTGCACACCGGGACCCTGAGGTAGGAAAAACAGCGAGAGGCCATCCTCAGAAGGTCACGCTGTCCCACCTCCACATCCCACAGGCCTGCCTCTGGAGGTCAGGCTGGAGGAAGGACCTGGAGGCCAGACTTAAGGCACAAAGAACGCTATGAGGACATACTGAGTCCAAAGGATAACTGGGGGATAAAACATATTTGCAATTGTGAGGATGCTGTGGGTCTAAGGTCATCATGTTTAAGACTGGAACCAAGCCGGGCGGTGGTGGCGCACGCCTTTAATCCCAGCACTGGGGAGGCAGAGGCAGGCGGATCTCTGTGAGTTCGAGACCAGAACTGGTCTACAAGAGCGAGTTCCAACAAGAGCGAGTTCCAAGACAGCCTCCAAAGACATAGGTACAATGGCGCAAACTTTAGTCTTAGCACTCAGGAGGCAGAGGCTGGAGGATCTCTGATTTGGAGTTTATGCAGTGCTGGGAATCGAACCCAGGGCCTTGAGCACGCTAGACAAAGCGTTCTACCCACTGAACTACATCCCTGACCCCAGTTAAAGCCTCCTGTTTATGTTTGATCATGCTTTTCCCTCGATCTGAAGCCCACCCTCCCTCACTGCCTTCCTCCCGCACTCCAGAACTCAGCCAGACCTTGCCTGTTCTAGGAAGTCAGCCTGGTCTACATAGTGAGCTCTAGAGAACCTAGGGCTACATAGAGAAACCTTGGCTCAAACAACAACAGACAAACAGAAGGCTAGGACTACACTTGAGTTGGGTTAGACTAGGTGACTATTTTGCTCTGGAAACACAGTCGAATACGGATGCCCAGTGTCTTACCCTGTCCTCACGGCTGCCCGGCTCCTCCTCAGGCCCTCGTGAGCTGGAGCCATCGCTGCTTCCTGGGATCCGAACCAGGTTCTTTTGCTTAGAGAAAGAGCCTGAGGCCCGGGATGATGAAAGATGAGAGGCAAATGAGGTCATATTTTGTGAAGACCGATACTTTGGGAACAGAGCTGACTGGGCAAAATGGGCTA